TGTGTAAACTGGTACTTTATGACAGACACTCAAAATGATTTATCAGTTTCAGAAAGCAATGAGAGTTTCATTTTGTGAAAATTGTATTTTTATAAGTAGCCAGGTAAATATATGTAAAAGTAGAGCTCAACACATATTGTTACCTAAGAGGGAAGTGGTGCCTGTGGTTCAATATCAACATATCTTTAGAAAATCCATCTTGCAGACGTCAAAAATGTCTACGAGGTTGTGCTAACAAGGCACTTATTTAATTATAATTAATGAGGGAGGCAACATATAATGAATGAGCTCAATTTTCAGCTGATTTAAAGAAATAATGTGTCCTACATAAATCTGTCATTCCATGAGAACCCAATATATACACAAGATATTGCAAATATATCAAGTGGCTTTTATTGCATTTTCCACTTCTTTGTTCACATTGCTATTTTTTTTTAATTTTTTTTTTCAACGTTTATTTATTTTTGGGACAGAGAGAGACAGAGCATGAACAGGGGAGGGGCAGAGAGAGAGGGAGACACAGAATCGGAAACAGGCTCCAGGCTCCGAGCCATCAGCCCAGAGCCCGACGCGGGGCTCGAACTCACGGACCGCGAGATCGTGACCTGGCTGAAGTCGGACGCTTAACCGACTGCGCCACCCAGGCGCCCCCACATTGCTATTTTAAAAGTGAACATGTTTTAGGAGTAGCAACTATAGACCAGTTTTACTTGTCAGTCAACCTCACTACTACTTTTGGCATAATTTATTGCCTGATTGAAGAGATGAAAGCACAGAACAAAGTGTAAAATCCAGAGAATAAAGAGTATAGAGATGAAAGTTAAAGACACAAAGAGAAGAAAGAGTATGTTGTGGTGGTGGTTTATTTGACCAAGAAAAGCACCAAGTTAAAAAGAAGCTATTCTTTGTTGTTAGAAGTTATAAAATTCTCCTCCTGCACGGTACTGCCGAACAGAGAAGTTTGTCATCCAGAGATCCCACCCGAAGCCTTCATTAGCAGCTTAGAATCACAAAGAGTTTTTATAGGTATCCTACATAAGTTGTAATCATATTTACACCGAGGAATACTGATGGAATTTGTATAGTCTTGATAGCGACCATAAATGATCCACGTGACTGCAATTATGTTTAAAAGGTCATAAGCATAGAAATGTATATTTCTAAAAACCGTTCCCCTCCTCCACCGACTAACCCAGGATTCAGACTCTAATGGAATATATACACAGATCTTTTTTTTTTTTTTTAATTTTTTTAATGTTTATTTTTGAGACAGAGACAGAGAATGAACGGGGGAGGGTCAGAGAGAGAGGGAGACACAGAATCCGAAGCAGGCTCCAGGCTCCGAGCTGTCAGCACAGAGCCCGACGCGGGGCTTGAACTCACAGACTGTGAGATCATGACCTGAGCCGAAGTCGGACGCTTAACCGACTGAGCCACCCAGGTGCCCCTATACACAGATCTTAAAACAGCCTTCGGTAAACACACTGTAAGTTTTCACTACTACTATTGTTTCTCTTCTTGCTTTTCTGGATTGCTCATCTACTATGCTTTTCTTTTTTGCAGTTGTGTTGGTAATAACCTTGGTGTCTATTATTGTTTGTGTTTTGTTGTTGTTTCCTTGGAACAAATGTCCAATACAAATTGGGGCCCCTGGCGTTCAATCTAGGCAGAGAAAAAAGGAAAGACTTAGATGCACAACCTATTTTCCTCGTGTGTCAGGAAGGTTCCCGCTGGCCCGTCGAATGAAACACCTGAATGCTCCTGACTGCAAAGTCATGCAGGGAGGGGGCCAGGAGGGTGGCTGGGGATGGAGGGTGGGGGGGCGGGGGGGACTTTGAGAGGAGACTCGTCTCATCCTGAGCTACTGAGCCATCTCTTGCCTTCTGGGGCCCATAGGCATGTTCTAGAATCAGCAGAAAGGACTATCTGTAGCTTCCGCTTCCATTAATTAGTGATATTTCTTCCCTCTGGACCAGCAAAAATGAATGCAATACTTTCCTGTATAACATTTACCACACTCCTTAAGCCAGTGGTCCTTGCGTCCTCTCTTGAAGGTTTCTTGACATCATCCTGGATGCTGCCCATTTGGTTGGTTTCCTTCTCAAAAGGGTAACATCTGGTACTGACCCCTATCTTCCACATATTGTCTGCTTCGATGTGGTCTTAGGCATGACTCCTCCTTTGAGATAAGGGTCTGTGTGCTAATGCGAGTAAGCATTTGGCAGCTCCCTGAAATCAGTTTGTCTTGGAGTTGAACTTCAAAGTCCGCCTGGAGAGGTTTTCGAATATATTACTGTTAAGCCATTATAGTTCTGCATCTTTTTATATTTTTGCACTATGTGCAAATTTTCTATTCATCACTCCGTGTGTGTGTGTGTGTGTGTGTGTGTGTGTAATTTTAACCATATGTATATTGGTTATATATAACTATATTTACATATATTAAATAATATATGTATGTATGGTTAGCTAATTATATAAATAGTTATATGGTTATATATAGTTATATACAGTTGATTCATATTTATTTATTTATCAATGGCTGATATGTCTAAGCTATTACAATTTTCCGTCAACCAGAATGTTACTTATATCTACCAATTTGGACCCTCTTCGAATTTGGTATTCTATTTTTTGCCTTTCTTCCAATCACTGGTATAGATGCCAAATTCACTGATCCGGTTTGAGGAACGATACCTAGAAGTTTCTTCTGTGGTTCAATGCCAATCTGTTAATCAGGATCAGGACTTTTTGAGAAGATCAATCAGTAGTTATAGAACAACCCTATTGATCAACCTACCTACCTATTGGTCAGTCAGTTTGCCTTCTGAATATTGATTTAGGATTTTTCTGAGTCGGGGCTATATATCTCTGTGGATATGGGTGGATATAGACAAAACTCAGATGGAACTTCCCAGGCAAAGGTCCCAGAATAGGTAAACAGGGCAAAGGTCCCAGTATAGGACAAAGGTATAAGGATAGGGAATCTCAGGATGAAAACCTCCAAGATGAGGTAAACAAGATTAGGTATTCAGGGCGGGTAACATCCCTCCAACTTAGTACAAGAGCAGGAAGCTGCTTTCACAGGAAGGAAGGATCCAAGGAGGTAAACAGGTAAATAGGGCTGTAGACCTCTGCAGGCAAAGTTGCCCTGAGGGGAGCTAATTAGCAGAAGAAAGGTGCCTTGTTGACCCTGAGGTGGCCTGCTCTGTCTTCCTTGTCCCCTAGGCCTGTTTCTGTAAAGGAGGTGGGGCCTCACGTCTGCTGTAAACAACCTCCAGCCCAGGGCCAGGATTTTGCTTTGTAGTAACCCAAACCCCTAACCCCCACATCTTGCCCTCAGGCCCCTGAGTTAGTGTTCACAGATTTATTGTCTCTTTGTGCACGTCCATCACCATGTTTGTAAGCCTCCTGACCCTAATAAAAACGGAGCAAAGACCCTTACCCGGGCTCTTGTCTCCTCTCGCATTTTTAATCCCGTGTCCTGCTTTCTTGCTGGACAAGAAAGGGCTCCAGATGCAGACTGTACAACATATATATGTGTCATATGTTATGTATGCCCCCTGTTATGACTACAGGCATGGTATGTGGCCTTAAAAGCTAAAGGCAAATAGAGATCTCTAAAAAAGGAGATCAGCCTTGCCTGATTTCAGGAAAAGAAGCCAAGTGTAATGACTCCTATAAAACCGTATATTTGCAGTCAAAGAAGATAAAGGTAAGAACTCTGGCAGCATCAGAAGACGATGTGAGATGAGCAAGGCTCCTGATGATAGACGAATACATTTTGGTAAAACACAATTGGCCCTGCATTTGAAGTCTGGCAATTCCTCGAAGGTCCCCCTGCCCCGGGGACCCCGGTGGCAAATAAAACCAGCACTCCTCCTCCATGTGTGCTCCCCAGCACTATCTGTATTCAAGCCCCTGAAAATTACTCTTTGTTTTCTACCTTTTGTCCAAAAGGACACAATGAAGGCATTACGGATTTTAAAGTGGCTTTTAGATAGGACACGTCCAGACCATTTGTTGGAACGTTACTAAATTCTCCTGGAGTGGCTGGCATGATTTCGCTTTTCATTCTGCCTTTCATGGGAGCTGTCTGCAAACTGTGTCTCTGACCTACTAGATCAGGAGCGTGGGGGCTTATTAGAATCTCCTCGTTTGGCATCCTGGCTTGCATGTGGCTAGTGTTTAGAGAATGCTGCCTTAACTGATGTGCTCATGGTCATGATTTGGGGGAAGCATGAGAAGTTTGCTTGGGAGGGCATCCTGCTTTCTGACAGGTTCATTTGATTGTTATTTGCAAATGCAAAATGGAATTGTTTTCAATGGTTCTCCTAATAAGTTGGATCCTTTTTATGGTATCGATAAGGATTATTGACTATTAAAAACACATGGGCAAGGACACTATATTATCCAGGTATAAACACTAGAAGTTCCATACCAAGAGGAAGTTTCAAACCTACATACTGGTGACTACAGACTTTGTTTCAGTCAGCTGCAAAAAAAATCTCACTTTTTCCTTTTGATGTTCACGTACATGTAAATTATTAAAGCAGGTAGCTGGGTTTAGGTACTGTGAATATATTTTACAGCTGAAAGGGTATGATGTTGCATTTGCATATTCACATGGCCTATATGCTGTACCATTTTTAAGGAGCGGATAAAGAAAACAACAGGGCAACTGTGGATATTTTCCGGTTAGGTAAATATGAATTAAAATAAATGCTAATATATATTTATTGACTTACTGATTAAAACATAGTAATAATTCAAGGAAAACAATAAAATACATTGCATGCGGTCAAAGCAAGAAAGCTTTACTAGTAAGTTGCTAGTACCCTTTGTAGAATTTCCAAAGTCAATTGTTTACGAAAGTTCTAGAAGGTATTTTCAAGCTTATATCTCTAGTTCCATCTCTGGCAAGGGAATCCTGAAACTTGAGGGTGAAAACGCCAAAATACCTTCCGTTATTTTCTGTATATCAAATGGGGCATTCTTACCTTGAAATTGTGCATTGAATCCTTTGCGCCGATGGTTGCTGTCAGATGTAAAATGCAGTCGTAACCAGTTCTTGCTGCTTATAACGGGAGAAGGAAGGTTCATGCCAGTCAGCCTGGAAAAGAGAACCAGAAAAAAAAAAAATCTGCCTTATAAATCAACCAATAAATGTCCTCTATCAAACCCACTTAAAAAAAAATTAATGTTTATTCATTTTTGAGAGAGAGACAGAACATGAGCAGGGGTGGGGCAGAGAGAGAGGGAGACATAGAATCCAAAGCAGGCTCCAGGCTCTGAGCTGTCAGCACAGAGCCCGAGCCGAACTCATGAACCGCGAGAACATGACCTGAGCGGAAGTTGGACACTCAACCGACTGAGCCACCCGGGAGCCCCTCAAACCCACTTTTCAAATTGACTGCTGACAGTCATGATTTTGAGCTGCTTAGGACAGAAGTCATTGATGAGCTGTGCTGACCCCTTGAAATGACTCAGGTAATTTCACGTTTGCCCGCATATCAGCGCTGTATTTTACCCTTGATGACGTGAAGGCTTTCACCCATACTTGACATTTTTATTCTTCTTTATTAAGGATGGACACATGAGACGATATTCTTTGGATCTGTTATCAGATCCTGTTTTCATCAGGACCTCAATCCTAATGACTTCTAAAAGGACAAGAAATAGGCAAACAGTAACATTCTGCCTTTCACCCTTTCAACACTTTGTGATTCTGACCTGCCCTCAGATACACTGTTCATCATGTTGATAGAATCCCGCATTTGTAGTCTCCTGTGCACAGAGTTCCAAACAGTGGCCCTTCCCCACCCACGGGAGGAAGAGCAGTGTTTAGGGGGTTGGGGACAAGCACTGTTGAAGAGATTTGAGATGAGGTAAAGTTATGTTTGGGGCAAGCGGTATTTAAACACACTTAAATCTTTCAGAATCAGACACGATCTCTGGCTAAGCTGTTGAAGCTCCCCTCCCAGTTTACACTGGTGGTTTAGTTGTCAGAAAAAAAAAAAAGTAATTTACTTCCTGCTCCTGAAAACCTGGCATCTCCAAGAAGTGAAAGCCTTCTCAGGGGGTAAAACTCCTCCCTGTCGGAGACACAGGGGTACGTTGGGTTTTGGCCAAGGGCAGAAGTATCCTTGGGTGGGGCCACCTCTGGTCCCACCTGGTACAAGTTCAGGTAGTACAGTTGCCTTATCTTTTCTGAACCTCTACTTTCCAGTATGTAAACGACCTGAAAACACATCCACCGAGGGCTTGAAAGAGATGATCAAGAGGTATGTGTAAATGCCCCTGCTGCGCGTTTTAAGTGTCACCCCGAGTTATGCATCATAGGATTATTTTGCATCTCAGTTGCCAAGTACATTTGCAAAACGATGCTTATTAGTGCCGGTGATCAGCAAAGGGTTAAGCAGTCCACTTGTGGCTGGAATCTGTGCTGCCCTTCGTGGGCTGGCCTGTGCCCGCAGGGCTGCTTGGCCGGGCTGCAAGCCGTCTTCCGTGCACAGGATTCCCCAGGCTCGGGCTGGCTTCCATCCTTACTCCATTATCTGGAGGGAAAGCAGCGTCAAATGAAATACGTAGTCAAGCTCTCTGATGTCAGGGTGTTCAATTTAAACTCTCAGGTTTAAAAACGTGCAGGATCCGTTTAAAGAGAAAAGCCAAACCTTGGCTGTAACCGATTGCAACAGTGTTTATGTCACCATTTGAAATAATCTTCTGTGAGAGGAAATACACCACTCCGATCTGCCTATTTGCCTGGATTTATGTAGTTCTGACTGCCGAGGTCGGATACAGCTGCTTCTAGGAAGCATTGCGTTACTCTGCTACTTTGTTGGAAGGCTTTCTCCCCCACCACCTTGGTGAGCGTGTGTTAGATTCTGTTAGAAATAGGTTACCCCTTTGCCTGATACTGACAATGGCCAAAAGGTAGGTGACTTCTGGATTCAAAAACCCAGTATATCCTGCTCACCTACATTTACTCGCTGGCAGTTTTATAACTGAATTCCATGTTTACTTGTTGAGGCTTTAACAGTATTTTCCCCCCTCAATTAGGTTCTTTTTGAGGGGTTCAGATCTCAAGAGCAGGGTGGGATTGCATTTTAGTTGTGTATCAACATTAGTAATGTGAGTAAGTAAATATGCTCTCCACCTCCCACATTTTTCAAATACCGACCCACAAAAAATAATAGTTTTGTGTCAATCAACAAATTTCATCTCTAAAGTGAAGACATAGTTTAGGGTTTACTAGGAATACAGTTTCTTTTTTTTTTTTTTAACGTTTATTTATTTTATTTTTTGAGAGGGAGTGTGAAAGAAAAGGAGGGGCAGAGAAAGAGGGGAGGAAGAATCCCAAGCAGGCTCCACAGAGCACCAACATGGGGCTCGAACCCGGAAACCGTGAGATCATGACCTGAGCTGAAATCAGGAGTCGGATGCTTAACCGACCGAGCCACTCAGGTGCCCTAGTAATGTGGTTTCTGCTGTAACCATTCGACTCTGCTGTTGTAGTGAAAAATCAGCCATAAAATGGTTATTATGGTTGTGTTCCAGGAACACTTCCCTTATGCAGGTTTGCATGTCATGTAATTTTTCTACTAAACAAAATGTTACTTTTTTTCTTTTTTCAAGTTTTTATTTAAACTCCAGTTAATTAACATACAGTGTAATATGAGTGTCAGGTGTACGATATACTGATTCAATACCTCCATGTGTCACCTGGTGCTCAGCACAGCAAGTGCGTCCTTAATCTCCCCACCCATCTCCCCACTGGTGACCATCGGTTTGTTCTCTAGAGTTTGTTTGTCTCCCTCTCTTTTCCCCCCTTTTGCTTGTTTTTTGTTTGTTTGTTTCTTTCTTTCTTCCTTAAATTCCACATATGAATGAAATCACCGGAATGTTTATAGCAGCATTATCTACAACAGCCCAACTATGGAAATAGCCCAAGAGTCCTCTGACTGACCAATGGATAAAGAAAAAAAGATGTCGCATATATATTACACATATATGTAATGAAAACTAATGAAATCTTTTTGCAGTGATGTGGATGGATCTAAAGAGTATTATGCTCTATAATAAGTCAGAGAAAGACAATTGTTACTCTTTTTTGATGGTTTTTCAAATACTGAACAATGTAAAAACCATTCTTAGTTTATAGGCTAGGTTTGGCCTATAGACCATGGTTTGCTGACCCTTGCTTTGGCGAATATGAGGCAATTTGTACAAATACTGAGCAGGTAGATAATTAGGTGACACATATGAAGGTAGTGTAACTAGTTTCTAAAAATATGTAACTCCTGGACAGATGCATTTCATATAGAATTAAGGGTGAGGACTTTCTAATAATTATATAATTCATTTTCTGTGGTGAGAGGCAAGCCGTGCCAGTGAATCACACTCCAGAGTGGATCGACGTGCTTGGATTTCTTGATTTGTCCATGGGAAATAAACAAATATTCATATCCTCTTTTCTTGGGGTGTCAGGTTGGTGGAGGTTCTATATAAGGCATATCCTTTGGAACTGTGACTTTTTCTGTCCTCTTCCACAGGCCTGGGCTAAATTTTTTTAATGTTTATTTACTTTTGAGAGAGAGACACAGCACAGGTGCGGGGGGTGGGTTACCCAGAGAGAGAGGGAGACACAATCCAAAGCAGGCTCCAGGCTCCAAGCTGTCAGCACAGAACCTGATGCAGGGCTCAAACTCATGAGCCATGAGATCATGACCTGAGCCGAAGTCCGATGCTCAACAGACTGAGCCACCGAGGTGCCCCAGGCCTGGGCTAATCTTAAAGCTGTCATTTAACAGAAAGATTACATTATAAAGTCAATTGTTCCTTTATTGCAAACTAATTTAAAGGAAGTTGACTCATACACAAGCCAGTGGTTGTTATAATAGATTTACTGAGAACTTGGATGATTCAGACAAGATGTAAAGAATTGAACTGAACAGCTTGGTGGCATCAGAATGGTTCCCAAAGGTGTCCACAGCTTAATCCCCAGGCCCTGTGACTATGTCACCTTACATGGCAAAAGGGGGCTTTGAAGATGTGATAAAGTTACAGACCTAGGGTAGATTTTCCTGGATTATGGGGTAGCCCAATGTAATCAAAAATCCTTACAAATGGAAGAGGGAGACAGAGGAGGAGAGTCAGGGAGAAGAAGGAACCCAGGAAGGAGGTCAGGGGATGCACATTAGAGTCATGGCCATGACTGTTGACCCTGAAAAGGGAAAAAGGGGCCGCGAGCCACGGAATGTGGATGGTCCTTACATGCCTTCTTCCCTAGAGCCTGGAGGGGGAAAACATCCCCGCTGACACCCTAGTTTTATTCCAGTATAGCCTGTGTAAGATTTATAACCAGCACGGCCATAAAATAATACATCCATGTCAGTTTAAGCATTCATAGTTGTGTGAAGTTGTTATGGCAGTAATGGAAAACAAACCTTTTAATACATGTGTCATATGTTTCATTCTGAAACAGTCCGGAATGAGAGGAAATAGGGTAGAACATGCCGTCACTCTGAACCTATTAATAATCTTGGGGAACTGGCCCATTTTAAACACTTTGTATAGTTATCAGGGATTGAACATCCATCGTTGTTGGCTTGTTTCTCTGAAAAGTCCTGCTCAGTGCTTAGCTGTCTGTCTTTGAACTCTTCTGGATTTGGTTTTCTAATAAGTAAGTAGTTTGGGACGTGAGAGATTATGGGGCAATAGTAGGAACTTGACATGAATAGTGAGCATAAGATACAAAGCAGAAACATTTCACAGAGAAAGGATGAAATAATGGCAGGGATCAAGACACGTTTCTGTCTATTAGTTGAAAGTGTCTAACATATTCTGAATTTTTATCCTATACGCATAAAAGCAAAGGAAAACTACCTGGTGAAATCAGGAGATTCAAGTATATTTGGACTTAAAAAATAAAGGACACGTCAGGGTGATCTGCCAGGAAAGGGTCTTCCTGAGGGAATGTGAGAGGCACGTCATTTCTGGAGCATCTCAAACTAGGTCAGGAAACCCATAAAGCCTCACAGTGCGAATATTGAGCAGTCCCTTTAGACATGGCTAAAGGAACTGGTAGTTCTCACTCTTCCCCCCAAGATG